TTCAGTGCTATTTGTTTAATGATAGTAAGTTCCTTGTTGTAATTTTCTGTTGAGAGGGGCGTATTAAGAAGTCTGTGTATAAAAGAGTTAAATGCAGCCATTTTGTGTGTATAAGGGTTATTTGAGCTGTTATCTATGACTGCGTCCGTGTGTGAAGGTTTATGATAAATGGAAAAATCTAATTTGTTTTGCGTTTTCGTAATAGTTAAGTCAAAAAAATTAATAGAGTTATCCTGTTCAATCACGATGGTGAAATTTATACGATTATGTAATGAGTTAATGTAATTCAATTTTCTGTCCATTCCAACAAAGCAAGCAAAGACATCTTGCATGTATCTATACCACCATAAAAAAATTTAACTTAAAGGATGTTGTAGTAAGATATTTTCCAAATTATCCATAAAAATCTTGGCTAACAAAGGACTAAGTGGGTTTCCCATAATCAACCCTTAGAGATGTAAATCTATCCATTAAATTCAAAATAATTTTGGTATACAGATACTATTAAGCAATCTAATACATCTTGTTTCACCAATGGGTTAACTTGTCTCGAAGTTAGGGTGAAATCTACCAAAATCTATTTACAGGGAAATAAGTTTTGTACATCAAAAGACAATGGTGTTGCGTTAGAAGGGATTTTGATATCTTTAATTTTGTTGAATTATTCAAAAGAATGTTTTATTGCAAATTTTGGTTTAAAATCTGTGTGGAACTTTAAAATATTTACTAATTTTGCTGAGAGTTTAACTGCTGGAGCTGTTACATAAGACACGACTGGTCTAATGGGCATATCTTGTTTATGTAATTTAATTAAAGAATATAATTTCGGACGTTGTGGACTCATAATTGTTAAAAAATATTTGTGTTTGTCACTAAATAGTGTGGAGTTAGTAATTACTACCTTGACTTGTCTTTGATATAACTCGGTAGGATCGTGTTTGATACATTGTAAAAGTTCTGGTTTAAGAAAATTATTGGTTTTTGACATATATTCTGGGAGATCTATCAATGACTATACCAGAACTTTTCCAATGTATCACAAACGATCCTAAAGAGTTTTATCAAAGACCATTATGAATCCACAACCGCCGAAAATATATTCTTTAGTTAAATTACATAAACAAGATAAGCCCATTAGACTAGTCGTGTCTTATGTAACTGCTTCAGCAGTTAAAATCTCAACATTAGTAAATATTTTAAAGTTTCACACAGATTTTAAACCAAAATTTGCAATAAAAAATTCTTTTGAATTAATCAACAAAATTAAAGATATCAAAATCCCTTCTAACGCAACACTATTGTCTTTTGATGTACAAAACTTATTTCCCAGTATATGTGATAGATTTAGTAGATTTTTATGGATAATTTGAAAAATATCATACTGGAACATCCTTTAAGTAAAAGTTTTCTGTGGTGGTATAGATACGTGCATAATGTCTTTGCTTGCTTTGTTGGAATGGACAGACAATTGAATTCTTTTTTAAATTACATTAACTCATTCCATAATCGTATAAAATTCACTATCGAGATTGAACAGGATAACTCTATTAATTTTTTAGACTTAACTATTACGAAAACGCAAAACAAATTAGATTTGTCCATTTATCATAAATCTTCACACACGGACACAGTCATATATAACAGCTCAAATCACCGCTATACACACACAAAATGGCTGCATTTCACTCTTTTATACACAGACTTCTTAATACACCACTCTCAACAGAAAATTACAACAAAGAACTTAATATCATTAAACAAATTGCACTGAACAACAGCTACAATCCGTCCATTATAGATAAAATTAATAAATAAAAAACAAATCCAGACAACAGTAAACTCTATTTATACGAAACCTAATACAGAACACGAACAATTTAAAACAATTACATACATAGGAAAACCTAGTGAAAAAGTTTCAAAACATTTGTCAAAATGTGGTTTAAAAATAGCTTTCAGAACTAACAACACAATAGGAAAATTAAAAAAAAAAAAAACAATAAAAAGAAATGTCCGAAATCTCAAAAATCAGGTGTCTACAGGTTGAAATGCGGATCTTGTCCTAAAATTAACGAACATAAAAAAGCGTTTAAAAACAGTAGTCTAAATTCTAATTATGCTACACACTTAAACACAGAAAAACAAATTTTTGACGACAATTTTGATATTTTACATACAGCCACAAAAAGTAGAAAATTAAATTTATTGGAAGCCATGGAGATTAACAAAATGAGACATTCAAATATATTGCTTACCGATCAATTAGATTTAAATACCTCTGTTTTATTGAACTTAAATTCTAACAACTTTAAGGTTTTATGGTCATTTTTCGGTATATATAGTCTCAGGTAGTTTGGAAATATTACATTTGATAAAGACACGGTGTTGTCGAAACAATTGTCATGTAAAAATATATAATTTCGTGAAAATCTGAACTTTTAGTTCTTATTTATTTTGATAAATAATGGGTCCTGATCTACGTGCGTGTCAAATTTCATTAAAATATCTAAAATGGTATTATAGATATTAAAAAAATATATTTTATTTTTGAAAACTTTACCATCCTGTATCTGAAAAGTTTAGGAAATGTGTTCATATGAAGTTTTCTTTTTAATATGAACCCAAAAATCGCCCCCATAATTATTGACATTCAATTAGAAAACACGCTGTATATAGGTGAATATTTCGAAAATAAACCTTTTCGTGTTATTTAATTGCCGCTGAGAACAGATGAACAATTTCGCCCCTTATCGGTTCTTTGTTGTTGCGAAATGATTCTCAAAACAGAATGAAACCGACTGACTTCACCCTCGCAACCGGACTGCTCACTGCAGGAATTTCAACGAATTCTTAACTCCCGAAGCAGATCAGCGTCCCGACGTTAAGCCTTTCAGCCATAGGACTTGGTTGTGAGCCTCCGCAGCAAAGGTTTATCGCATTGTCTTGATTGTTCTGCAAGTAATCGCTAAATGACCATTATTTAATATCTGACGCTTCCAAACGTGGTTTGAAATGCAATAGGGTTAGGTTAAATATTCACCAATCGGAAAGTGATAGTATTTCCGAAGATTTTAATAAATCATCAACGCCTATTCCAGAGGATATAGTAGACTTGTTAGATAATGTAAGTATTAGTTATAAAAACGAAATGGAAAACCTTTGATTCCGTACTTCACTTTTACCTACATTTTCCGGAAATAGAGGTCATTTGGAGAGCTTTATTTTGTTTATAGATGGATTTTGTTCGTTGTATTTTAATAATAACGAAGATCAAAGAAAAGTAGTTTTGGCCGCAGTAAAATCGAAATTAGTCGACGGCTAGGCCCGATTTTACCACTTGGGCTTCAATTCAGGCTTCAACTGCAAATTAAATATGACAATAAAAAAGATCCTAAAAAAAGTTTTTGGCGTTTATTGGAAACAACTATGTTTTCGACAGACATGTTCAAACTTGAGTTTTTTCAACATTTTAATGGCATTAGTAACTTGCACCACTCTAAAAATATAAACATAAAGATGTTATCCGAATATGAGCTGGTTAGAGTAATTAAACCTAAATTCACAATGGGTCCAGATTTAATTCCAGCATTCCTTAAACATGACTGTAGTTTTGTTCTGAATCATAGTTATCAAAATAATTGACATTGTTACTCTAAGATTTCGCTAGAGAGCATTCTGGTCCATAAGATATGATAAATAAATGGTACCTTTATTGAAACACGCTTGGAAAGAGGTTTGCGGTTACCCTACATAGGATCACTTCCAGTTTTTAAGACTTCATGCATACTTACGAGCCCAAACAAACTTGTAGCTGACATTTTTTAGTTGATAGACTGATATTTTTTTGTGGTTGTCAATAAACTTTTAGATGACCCAATTAATGAAAATGTTTTCCTGAAATTTCCAAATTATTTTTTATTCAGTTTTTTTCAGATGTCTCCATTAGGACACGAACAAAAACTTAATAAACATAAAAAAAAGATTATCTTGCTATCTTTGCCCTTAAGTATTTGAATGTTGAATCTTCGTCTGATATTTCTATCAGGTACACAGATTCCAATGAAAACTCTGAAACAAAACCTATCAGTCAGGTCAAACTTTTCCTGGGATCACTTACTTTGTTTCGCATTAATTAACATGATTGATTTAATGTGGTATCCTTCTGATAGATTTCCGTAACCCAGCACAGAGAGCCGGGTTGTTTTTTCAGAGATCCGATTGTCGGATGGCAAATATTTCAACTCTCGAAATTCCTTGTGTCGAATCTTCACCGACTTCCCTGCTTGTGACTCTTTGTTGACAGATTTACAATATATATCTATCAGCTCATGCCTTTCATGAAACCCGGATTCTTGCAAGTTGTCGTTTCCCAAAAACAGGGCGTCAATCACATGCAAACTTAACTTTTCCGTTTGCTTATCATGCATTTCCACCTGTTCAGTAACTTGGTCCCCATATATCAACGTTCCCGGAGTCAGTAAAATGTTCGGAACGTATTTCCAATTATGGTCCACAAATTTGTAGACGTTTGAACGATTATCAGCTGTAAAATTTAATATTAGAAAATAATGAAATAAAATTTCCAAAAACATTAACAACAAATATATGGTGGGGCGGTTTACCTAGGAAAAAGGTAGTACTGTTCTGGCTTCCAGTTAAGCAATAGTACCAATCATTCCCATTTTGAACAACAGCTACCAATAATTCCTCTTGAAACGTGCACGTTGGAGTTTTCATTAAAAAGCCTGTAAAATTAATTAGCTAATTAATATAACATTTTCAGAAAAACCAGTTGGGCAACCTATTATAACAGTATCTACTCTTAAATTTTTTCTCAAAAGTTGCCAAATTTAAATTATCTACCCAAAAAAAGGCAAAAAAGAAATAAAATAATAAAATAAAGTTTAGTATAAACCCAACCAACCTTTCAAAATCTGATACTTTTTTTATGAGAAACTGTATGAGGATTTTAATTGTTCTTTTTGAGTTTTGAAAATCAATTAATTAAATTTAACTTTTGGGACAACGTGAATATGGATTATCAATACTAAATTATGTTTTAGAATTTTACCGAAAGGAATGTCATGCTTGGAGAAAAATTCACGGATTGTAAACTTAGGTTGAGGCTTTTTAGGATTATCTGGAATTTTCCAGTATTCCAAGCATTGGCTCCTCAGCTCTGACTGCCTATCATCCACTAATCTTGGGTTCCGGCAAAAGCAAGCTAACTTTTTCAGTGCTCTTATTTGATTCAACGCAATTCTAGAAAATAATATGTCTGTTATGATCTTTAAGAATAATCTAAATAATTTTACTCATTGTTGCTAGTCATGATATATTTAAAAAAAATTGAATCTCTTTGCAGCACTTTAAGAGGTACTAGCTGCAAAACATTGTAATTTTTATCATCTCTCATCTCCCATAGCCGATTTACAATTTTCCATAGGTACTCCCGCACACAACTTGTGCATGAATTCTCTCTAAATCTTTTGCATATAAGGTATCTTTCAGAATTGGCGGGTCTCGAAGATTTTGGTTTCAAAATGGTAACTAAAATATTGTTTGAAAAAATGTATTCATTCTTACTCTATTAGAACATACCTTTTTCAAAGCATAAATGGATTAGGTACAAGAGTCCGACGCTAAAGAGGGTGAAAATATCAAAAAGTTTAGTTACAAAATGTCCATTTGGCTTTAAAACTTTTAGAGCCACCATACATTGGCATATGTAAATATTCCTAGATAAAATTTCTTGCATAGCTTCATTTCCATCAACAGAAAAACCCTTTAAAAAATTTTTTAAAGCAAAATTCATGGCAATTAAATGATTTTACCCCATCTGCCATGATAAAATGTACACCCCCACCACTCTCTTCCCTAACTCTTTCTGCAAAGTCAGTAATATTCTCTGGATTGCAGACATCACCATCTCCACTCTTTCCATACAATGCTTGGAACGTGGCAGAACTGGCGCAATTTGACTCCCTTATTCTAAAATCATTATCACATTTTAATGTCAACCCAAAACCTTTATAAAGCCAATTCTTTCTCCATAGTACATATTCTGTAAAACCTCCTGGTCCGGCACAGATATCTGCAAAGTATATTGGTCCTTTTTCATCCTGAAAATCAATCTAAAAGAAGTATATTTAAAAATACAATAATTTATACAATAGCATTCATACACTTTTCTCAATGCGGGTAAACATAAAATTGGTTGCAGCATCAATGTTAGCCATTTTTAATGCTGCTCGATTCATAAAAAACACTGATTTAATAGTTTCAAAAGGGTTTGACTTGGCCCTAGCTCTAGAAAGCTCTAGTAAATCTAACTGATCAAATATGGTCTAAAAATGAAAAGAAAAAATGATACATGGAAAGCAATTCTGTCTACTTACTTTAGCTTCAAAAACATCAGCCAATATTTGTGCATTACAGAAGGTACTATCAATACTGTGATTGCTTTTACCATCTTTTAACCAGCTGTTCAAAGTGTTCTCATGCAAACTTTTATTTTCAGACTCAAGCCAAAGCAAGTTTTCCTGAACCTCTACATCATCTTCGCTAAAATCCCAAGTCTCCTCCGAAAAATCTAAGTCGTTTATTACATGACCAAAACCACGTCTACCCAAATTAGGGATCAGGTCTATAGCTTGTGTAATTCCCTGTTTGTTTTTGCCCAATCCAGATCCATATATGTAACCCATTTTTTGCTAAATTGTTTAAACAATTATTAACATATAAACTTAAGGCATTGACATACCATAATGCGCAAGGCGTTGGACGACTCATTTTTGCTTGTGGTGCCTTTAACACAATTAACAAAAATTTCAATAAAATATATTATTAAATGCTTACCTTCCTTCCATGAAGTTAGAGTCGCCATTAAAAAGAATAATTTAAAGGATTCTTAATATTTACTAGCTCAAAAAGTTTTTTGCACTGTTATCACGAATTATACAGCCCAACAAATTTTATGCAAAAACATAATGTACTAGTAAAAATATATATATAGATTTTTTTAGGTTAGGAGGGTATGTTTTTTATTACTTCTATTGGAGATACATGGACTGAATCATTCGGCCAAAGTGTCTCTTCTGTTTTGCTTTAATTCGGTCCGCTGCCAGTCAAAATCTCGAGAGACGCTTTCCTGGGTCAGTGCGGGTAGGTTTTCGTGGTTAACTAACTGGGTATTACTTTTTAGTTCTGATTCTCAGCACCTACTTCTCCTCGGTTTATCAAACCCTGGATTAGACTAAAGTTGCTTGGGCTTAATGTCTTGGCGGTTCCATTTTATCTTTGGTGAAAAACAATCACCGGACTGCAACATAACCTGAATTTTTCTATATTTTGTTTCTAGCGACGACCGGTTTAATTGCCTTTTTATGATTTAGTTATTAGTTTTGGGGCCCAATCTTCGAGCTTTATGTCCTGTCTTCTTTTATTCTTTCATGAGTGATAAGTGTAGTTATGAAAAGAAGCGAGATTATTAGAGGAAAGAACTTCCTCAAATCAGAGAAAATATTAATAAAACTTTGCATAAGTATAAACACATTATACAGTGCAAAAGATCAGATATGAACTTTTTAAAGCATAAAGAGACAGCTTGGAATCAAGTAACCGGACAGTTCAATGCTGCATTTGTTGGAAGTGTGGTAAGTTTTTATCAAAATAATTATTTCAGATAGATTCAGATAAATAGATTGAAGTTTGAATTTTGAAAAAATCACAACTTGAGAATTACGGTACCTAGAAAAATAGGTTTTTCACACTTTCAATTTGTAACAAAACTGGTTATTATTTCAAAGTTTCTCAGAAAAGTCAGTTTTGGAATGTGAGAAAAAAATTTAAAATGGTATTTTCTAGTCAGAATAGCACGGCTGTACCCAACGCCATTCCGCTTGTTTTAATTAAAATTTGGTAATTCATATTAATAACAAATGATTTTAGGCGAGAACAAGTAGGCAACTTAGTGAATGAATATTGACCAAAACATTTATTTTAAAAACATAAAGCTCTGCGAATGTTACCCTCGCGGGTACTAACTGTACTTTTTGCTATTGCGCACAAGGACAGGAAAGGTATTGGATTTATTTTTTCGGAACTGGAAGCTGGCTCTCACCACCAATAATATCTGCAAAACAAAAACATGGTTAAAATTTTCATTAATAAAGTAGAATATTAGAAACCATATACATTTTTTTTAATTTACTAGGCCATCTACCGTGCGTTAACTTCATAAATATTTCCGCATTCTTCTGTTTTAAGGTACCCTGAAATATTTGACTATTTATCTGGGATATTTCGAACATATGTGTATTTGGCCGTGGTTAAAAATATGGACATTAAGGTTTTCTTTGCCATTTTAATTTTATTTTTATCATTCAATATTTACAAAATTAATTTAGATAAATAGATAAAATAGATATCTTATTGATGATTTTGGTTTTCTTTGCTATTTTTTTATTATTTAATATTTTCAAAATTAATTTATCTATCTTATTGATGATTTTAAAATTTCGCAGTTAACCTTACTATTTCATCAATTTGTTTTATTTATTGCTGATCCTTGAGGATAGTGTATATACTTTTTTTTTCGTAACTTATCTGTATCTACACTCTAATCTCCTATCAACCCATGAAGCAAACTCGAAAGGCATCTTAACTAAAAAGTCGTATACTTTAAAGCTGCTGCTACTACTACATGAAAGTGTGTTTCTGTGACAATCTCGACAACAATGAAATCTGAACGCTCATGCTAAATACTGTAATACCCTTCTCTGCTAACGCTCTAGGAGACGCTATTTGAACCCCGTTCAAAGAAAAACTTTCTACAGACCAAATAGCCTCTCTGAACCACACTTAGCGCAACACTCCTTCACTGTTTTGCAACATTCAGACTAATATTCCGTACGAACTACGTATTCCATACACGAATCGTTCTCTTTTCCAATTTTTTATGCGCTACATTAACGAACAGTATCTGAACTTTTCTGTCTGTGTATTTTGTTAGCCACATTAAAAAATAATTTACCAATTTACTTAAATTCTTGATTTTGTAAAAAGGTATGCGAACCTAGCGGATATTTTCCATACTTTTCACAAATGGTGACCACAATTAATGCAACTATTATTTTTAATAATAATTCATCTTTCGCTATGACACGAAAACATCAATTTTTTAATTCTAATATTTATTATAGTGCCTCCCTTTAGTCTATATCTGTTCTTTAACTAAATCTCCACCTTTTGGAAAACCAACCTTTAAAATTATTTAATTTTCTCTAATATAAATTTGTACGTTTTCCGCAATGTGTATGAATATTAAGTTAGTGCAGTACATGTCCTAATCAATATTTTAAAAATATAATTCTAATGAAATGTGTTTACGATTTGAAGACATCGAAACTTTCCCCAGTTTTATAAATGATAGCACACTACCAAACTACCCCACCCCCCGGACAAAATCAGGTTAGTCAGTGGCATTAATTCTACCTGCGATAACGAATAGCGTATTGTTAAGTAAGGTTTAATACGCAGAAAATTTAAGTAACAAATAATTGAAATGAAACTCACTAACATCATAAAGTATTTTAAAAAATCAGAACAGTTGGAACTTACTGGAGTAACCAATTTGGCACCAAAAATGGAAATTTTCGAGACTCTACTAGGTGCCTACAATAAATTTTATTATTATTTGTAATTCACTGACACAACGATTTTCTAGTTCTGAATTTGATCACGGTATATGACCATAGTTTACACCCACTCTAAAAACCATCCAGTCTAAGCAATGAGAGTAATTGAACGTCCATTTTGTGTATTATGTTCAAAACAGACACCCTCTGGGAGGCGATATTCGAAAGTCCACCCATATTACTAACATTGGACTATGAATTCAGCTACCACTTACTACTTTCAATACTATTAACACAAAAAAGTAGTTGACATTCCTATAATAAGTGCAAAGTTTATGTGAAACTGACTGGAGGACAGAGTATATATGTTCTTAAACATATTTCCATAGCATTCTGTAAGACGTTACCTTCAAGTTTTCTTATTTAGTCAGTCAACACTATCAAATAGGAAATTACAATCCAATCAAGGGAAGACTTTTCAGTGGAAACATATGTAGTGGTGGAAATATATCAGTCGCCTACGTTGCCGATGGTACCCGACTGGAGCTTCTGCGTCTTCTTTACCCCAAATTCCGACTTAAAAAGATACTGGTCTACGTCTCAATATCCCTGTAAAAAAAGAGGTTCTACATTTCCATAAATATGTGTTTTCAAAATTTTACCTGAATGGTTCGGGATTCCTTATATATGCGGTTTTGAAAGCAATGTGGCGACAAGTACGATCAAACTTTCCATATCTCGTGTCCCCATCGACTGGTCTGTTTCATATATGAAAGCTCACCTCGCAACGCTTTACACCTCCTTAAAAATAACGAGGCAAGTCTTGTACTTATCGTATCAAGTAAAATGAGAAACTTACATTTTATGCCAAAACTTATTTTTCATTTTCCACTTCATAATTACAAGATTTTGGCTCTTATTTCATCACCTCTAAATGGGAGTAGGGGCTCCTAAAGTATGGTAGGTACATCTCCTTCAATTTTCTTATGAAAAACGTGATATACTTACTCCACTTAACTCGATCCGGATCGTTAACGCGTCTCAAGATGGGGGTTTAAAGAGCTGAGGCCATTAAATTGATTTACTAATTCCTGTACATCCTGAAACCCCTTATTTCCAAAATAAAAAATTGTTAACTGTTGACACAAAAAAAAAACTATTTTCTCGCCAATTATATTTCTGGGGTCGTTTTCAGAATTGGTCCAACGTAGACTCCCAAGAAGATAGGTCCGCAATTTCGAAAAAATTTTATGTCTCGCAGCTATGCATTTGTACACGAAGCAGGGCCGGATTAACAGTAATTATATTCTTGTCAGTAAACACACAACCGCCGATTGAATTCTTGGATTCTGTTTTACTAGTTGGCATGGTCTGTCAAATATTTTACTTAAAAAATTGTCTATTTTAATACAAATAATATACCTTTTCTTTATCCTTCTTATCCTTTATCAAGTTGAACAAGGGCACGTCTGTCCGTTTCGAAAAGCGCGACCTATGTATCTTCCAAAATGATCCAAATCGTTAACCTTTAGGGGTTCGACAAATACAATGTCCATTCAACCAGGCCTTACGCGAGGACAGTTTCGAAAATTGTTGATTTAAACGGAGCAGGTTCGGATTGTCAGCAAATACACAACTCGCCGATTCAATTCTGAGATGTTGTTTCACGAGTCACCATGATCTGTCGAATATTTTAATTTAAAAAAAATCTATTATTTAGCAACAATATACCTCTTTAAAAATAATTTCGTCTTTTTCAAGTTCAACAGGACACGTGTGTTCTCTTCGAAAGGTTTCGTAGGTTTGTCGAATTCTCCAAAATTCGTTAAACCTTCAGATATTTTCAAAATTTGTCCAACGCAGACTTCTACGCACGCAGTTTCGAAAACTTTCAGGTCTCCCCGCTATGCATTTGTACACGAAGCAGGGTCGGACTATCAGCAAACAGCACATCCGTCATTTTTCTTCTCGGATTCTACTTGACGAATTGCATCTGTATCGACGCGGAAGGTAAATCCTACCTTGCTTGTTTAATCGCAACTGACTAGGTGCCGTTCTTGTTCCTTTTTGTCGATTGTCATTTCATATGCATGATTCAAATTTTGGCAAGAAAATTTTCTTTCGAAAACGTTTTTGTGAATAGCATATTTCTGTTAAAGAGATGGAAAGTTAAATAAAAATGAAATAAATTATAATAAAACAAAATATTATTTTTCTAATCCCGTCTGTAAAATACCTAATTACACACCGATCTAGCGTGCGGGAAGCGTCACTTTACCACGTCAGTTTCGGAGATATTTCCCACGCCTTGAATTTTGACTGTCAGTTCTGCAGGTCATGTCAGTGAATGTATTAGTGTTGTTTTGCGAAAATGTATTCAGAAACTAACGGTCGTAGAAAA